GAGAAGAGGAGAAGGGTGGGGTGGGGTCATCATTACATTTTTTGCTTGTCTGGCAGGTGCTTGTCATCTTGAATATTGTCAATTAATGTTGAATGTATTGCATACCTTTTTTGCCCATTTCCTCTTATTTCATTTTCAGGTTGAAACAGGTCAGAGTTACGCCATTGTTTCATTGGTTGTGATCTAGCTCCTCCTTTCTCTTCATGGGTGTCTTTAGTGAATCCCTGTTGGTCTAATAAAATATTTACCAGCAGTCTTTATTTTAATAAGTAGACGTTAACATTATTTTTTTTCTCAGTTCCATAGCTTGAATATGACCCGGCCCTAATGGAGATTCACGTTAAATTCAGACGTTTACTTAAAGCAAATCCAGTGGTGTTGGAAGGAACGCTTATGCCATCATAAAAAAACAACAACAATAACAGCAAAAACAAAAAAAAACCAAAGTAAAAACAAAACGAAACAAAAACAAACACCCCCTCCCCCCCACTCAGAATAGGTGGCATTCGCACACATTCCAAGAGGTGAAGGATTTCTATGATTTATCTCGAAGTAAGAGTCAGTTTTACTTGTTTGAATATATGAATAAAAGAAAAGTTTTTCTTAGATTCCTAATTTACTTTTCCCTTTAAATGATACATGTGAATAATGGAAGGGAAGAACATAATACTTAGAGTAAAGCTGAGTAAGTTCATCTTCGAACTGTTTCAGGGTGTGAGTAAGAGGGCGAGGAGACTGAACATAGATGTGGAAATGACAAACCAGATGGATAATTGCCTGACTTTTGTCGCAATGTAGAAACTGAATTTCATTGGCAAGATGTCCAATTGTCCAAAGTCCAAAGTCCAGAAAAAACAGTTTTCAGGAGGAGGAAAAAAACTGTTTCATTTCTTTTTAAAATTATAACCACGCTATGTATCTTTATTTTTCTTTTTTCAATATCAAGAATGCTAACTGCGGTTAAATATTTCACGAACATATTATTATTATGCAACCGATACTAGATTAAGAATACTTTTGTTTTCAAAAGTTTGTGCTCAGACACCTGACCATCTGGCCGACAATTTATCTCTTCCTTCTTTTAAAAAAATTATAAGTGAGCGGCCTACTCGGGTCTCTTTCAATGGGCCAACTACACTATAAGATTTTTGTTCCTTCCATAAAATTCTCGACAGTATCCTAAGAAACCAAAGTTAATTTTTCTTGTCTTTGGTAATTGTTCCGTATTCTCAGTTGTATAGAAGGATTCACGTTGTGTTTTAGACTACAATATCGTATCAAATGCGATGAGGCAAGTGCATTTTAATGATGACAAGGATGACAACTTTTATTTCAGCGACGCAGTTGTAGGTAGTATAGGGAGACAACGTTTTCTTTGAGCAAAAGGTAAAGTTGAGCTTGGGGATTTAGAGAAGGAAATATTGTGTTGATATCAATGAAAAACATTGGCAAATAGTCCACCCAGCTAAAGAAACACGTTTGCGAGTGTTAAATTGGAAAGTGCTACATAATATTTATCCCACTAACATAATACGATTTTTCAAAATGAAATTAAAGGAATCTCAAAACTGCGAATAATATTGTAATGAACCTAATTTTATTGAAAAATATTTTTTACAACTGTAAGAAGGTCCACCACTTCGGAGGGAAATTGAAAAAGATTTACGGGTCCACTTAGGTACACCAATTGTAATTAATGAGAAAATTGTTTTACTTGGCTGGGGCAGCGGGAATGGGGAATAACGAATACTACTATTGCAATCGGAAATTATCTGAGTTTAAATAATATAGGTATGGGAAAGTAAGAAATATCTCAGAAATTTATGAGAGTTAAAGCAGTCTCAGGCATTTGTGTGCTAAGGGCAAAAAGTAAGGCTTCCAGTCTCCATCTAATGCCGCTTTTGTTTCGTTCCCGAATGAGAGCGAGCTTAAATGGAAGACTGTTATACATAGATGAGTGTGTATGTATGCATGTGTGTGTGTGTGTGTGTGTGTGTGTGTGTGTGTGTGTGTGTGTATGTGTGTGTATGTGTATGTGTGTGTTTACGTAATTTAATTATTTTTCACTTTTTCAAACATCTCTTTGCCTTCAATATACTCTTAGTCAGACGTAATGGTGCCATTCGCGGTCGCGTGTTATCAAATGGGGATAGAATAGGGAATTAATTTGATATAAGTTTGTGCACTTAAAACTAATTGGTCTGTCTTTCCCTTTTATTAATTTTAGCTATAAATGTACTATCTCTCTAGAGACCGGCAATTTTAATGCCCGTGATATCTCAGTTGTCGCCGGATACACTTTCACTTCTGAGACTGCAATACTGTGTGTGTGGTTTTGTATATATATATA